CTGAAACATAATTTGGTAGACTGAATGTACTCTGGGCCAACAACATAAAGATACTTTGAAAATACTTAATGAAGTTGCTTAGGTTTCTCTAGGAGGGTGTGAAAAATTTGAAGGAACTGAAGAAGTTTCTTCCTGTCTGTTTTAATGTGCATGCCGTTTTGTAGCTTTTCTAACAGAGTACTTCTGAAATTCATTATTAACAGTCTTTTAAAACAAAGACTGGAAATTAGCTGGGATTAAACTATTCTTTACATTGCTCAGAATTATTTTCTATTTGATACAATGTCTATATACATTGTATATACTATATACAATGTATATAGTAGACTCCTCAGTATGCTAATTTATTGTTAAAACCAACAAGGCTTTTTAGGGAAATTCCCAAGCTGAAGGGTAATGTTGCCAAATCCCCACTAGGCTGGTTTTGATACGAGGTTCTCTGCTGCATTAGGTTAATGTGACTTTTCTAGATGCTTCAATTTTGTTATCTTTGATTCCGTAATTGAGAGATAGTGTCGTTTGTGTGGTTAAGCTTCTGGAGCTTGATTTCTGTATTGGAGTTCAACTTTATTTATAATCATTTAAAAAATACCAAGTATCTACTAGGTGCAATACATTGTTTTAGGGTCTTAAGATCAGTGAACAAAACGAAATTCCTGCCCTTGTGGAGCTTATGTTATATAGTTAGGGGCAGAAAACGGTAAACATCATAAGCAAGTAGATTACCTAGCATGTTAAGAGGTGGTAACTATTATGGAAAATGTATAACAGATAAAAGGGGGATTGGGTGTGAGTGCATGTGGGGACAGTTTTAAATCGCATAGCAGGAAAAAGCCTCATTAACAAGATGATGATTGAGCAAAGACTGAAATCAGTAGGTAAAGGATTTAGTTATAAGTATCTCTGGGAGAAAGTATACCAGGCCTAGAATAGCCAGTACAATAGGCCTAAGGCAATGGCATGCTAGAAGATACAGGGAGATAAGAAAGTCTGGTTACTGGACTCAAGTGGAGCAAGGGGGAAAGTATAGAAGATGAGGTCTGAAAGGTGGTGGTGGTGGATTGTGGAGGGCCTTGTGGTGGATTGTGGAGGGCCTTGCAGACCATTATAAGGACTTTGGTTCCGCCAGTTACTAGTTTTGTAACCTTTGGTAAGTTATTTAACCCTTCAGTTTTTCTCTCTTGTAAAATGTGAGTAGTTAATAGCACCACTTTCATAAGTTTGTTGTTTGGATTATGAGAGTTAATACCTGCAAAGTCCTAGGAACACTGCTAAGCAAAGTCTAAAGTATATATTCATTGCATCTTTAAAGGTAAAGTGAACATTAAAAGGTTAATTCTTTTTCATTTGAAAAGGTAGCAGAGGAAGAAGTGAGTGCTCTCTGCTTTGATTTTTTTCTATAATAAATTGCTTAAACTTTAATTATAGCCCTTACTACATAATGTTACTATTATTAACATTATTTGTTGTATGTGTACTTAGCATCTTGCTACCTTATGAACTCCTATGGGCAGAGACCGTGGTATTTTATGCATGTCTTAGGAATCTTAGATAGCATGTTGTACATGCATATCAGGTGATCAGAACATTGACTCAAATTAATGACAAAAATGTTGGCTTAATTAATGAATCAGCCCACCTGCTGGTATGTATATTGGAATATTGCCAGTCTTTCAAAACTAAATAATGGGAGGACAGTAGCTAATGGTCCCTGAAAAATACTTCATTTATTTTCTTAATGTGCCATAGTTACTAAAATTGGTATTGGTAGAAAATTGCCTTAATTATTAACTAAGTGTGAGAGTTTATACCATGTGAAATTAAAAGTCCATATTCACAGTATAGTATGGATCTGTTATATTAACATCTATCATTGGTTAAAAATATTTTTATTGACAGCATAAATATACTGCTACCTTAAAACAGTTTTAGTCTTAATTTCACTGTTTATATCTGCACAAGTGATATAATTAGGGAATATTTAGCTAGCAAAATCTTAAATCCTAGGAATTGCCAAGAAGGAATATTCACTATAACTCCTGAAGTGAGGGAGTGAAGCATGTTGAAAGAGGAAGATTATAATTGGCCTTTGGGTGGTTCAGGAGCTTTGTACCTCTCTTTTTGTACTTGCAGGGTCTTCAGTTTCCAGCTTGGTAGTTTCTTTCCTTATTGTTGGCAGAGAGGAGTGGGAGATTTAAAGGAAGAATAGAGACTTGGAAGGAGAAGTGAAATTGGTAGATGATGCTAAATGAATTAGAGTTCCAGAGACAGAGACTGTGTGGCAAGTGAGTTAGGGAAAACTGTGTGTTTCCATGGTAGAGGAAACATTGTAATGGGAAATATATTCCAAAATTTCTGTTACAGGTTTAGACCTTGAGGTAATAATATTTTGTGCATGTGGGTGTGTATGTGTGTGTGTGGGGGCATGTTTCCTTTTTCTTTTTGCTTTACTATTTTATTTTTTGTTTCTCTTTTAACATGTCTAGTTATGTTCTTTGATGTATGATAGCCTTAATTTAGGGCTTTGAATCAAAAGTGATGCAAGAAGATGAGTAGACTTTTTGTGAAAATGTTTTCAACAGAATATTAACATTTCGAAAACATTTGTCCAGTCCGTAGATTTTATTTTACCATATTCCATGATGGCATATGAAATACTGTCTTGATTGCGGGGTAAATATACCCAGTCAACTTTCAAAAAGACTCATAATGTAATACTAAAATATATAATTAGAAGACATTTTTATTTCTTGTATGTAGACTTTGCTCTGCTTTTTCTGTTCAAGTTTACACTGTTCTATAGCTTTAGAAAATCTAAAAGTTGAGGACACCTGGGTGGCTCGCTCCATTGGTTAAGTGTCTGACTTCAGCTCAGGTCATGATCTCGCAGTTTGATAGTTCTAGCCCCATGTCAGGCTCTGTGCTGACAGCTCAGAGCCTGGAGCCTGCTTTGGATTCTGTCTCCCTCTGTCTCTCTCTGTCCCTCCCCTGCTTGCACTCTGTCTCCCTCTCAAAAATAAATAATAAACATTAAATTAAAAAATTCTAAAAGTTGAACACAGTGAAGACCATAGATAGCAGTGTAGTGCAAATACAGTTTTGCTTTACTTTACCTGTTTTTAATAATGTCCACCACAATAGTACAGTTTTATGGCAAGTATGTATTCAAAAATTGTTTTACATAATTGAGAATGATGGCATATATGCTCTTCTGAGTGCTTGGAAACAAAGCTTTGAGGCAGGCAATTAAGAGCTTAGTAGAAAAAAAATTTTAAATAGATTTCTTGATTGGTAATTATTTTAGCAACAAAGCTACTGACTGGCTGAGGAATAGAAAATGCTGCATTATCAGAAAGGCTGTAGTGTTTGTGATCCCTCGATAAAATTATATAAACATAATTTTGGATTAATATATTGGTTATTTCCTCAAGATTTAAAGTTTAATTGTTTTGCTTTTACGTTTATAGCTTTTATTGATTTGCAAGATATTTATTGAGCCCTGAAAATGTGTGTTAGGGCTGTTATATAAATGCTTTGTTATTTCTGAATAAAAAATTAAATTTGGCCTATTCTTTGTTTCTAATAAAGTTTCAGCTTTCAGTCTTCATTGTCTTTATTACCTCCCTTTCATATGCCAGCAAAAAATACCCCAGTTGCATAAAGGAAATTATATGTGTCCAGTATTAATGCAGTACCAACATAGGATATTAACTTTCTGTGTTAGTCTCTGTTAAAAGGCTGATTATAGCATACCACTTAAAAAAATATGTATGGACCATATTGGTATTATTAAATACCTTTGCCTTGAAAAAAAAATTAAAAAAATTTTTTTAATGTTTATTTTTATTTTTTTATTTTTATTTAAAAAAAATTTTTTTTAACATTTATTTATTTTTGAGACAGAGAGAGACAGAGCATGAACGGGGAGGAGCAGAGAGAGAGGGAGACACAGAATCTGAAACAGGCTCCAGGCTCTGAGCTGTCAGCACAGAGCCCGACGTGGGGCTCGAACTCATGGACAGTGAGATCATGACCTGAGCTGAAGTCGGACGCTTAACCGGCCAAGCCACCCAGGCGCCCCTTAATGTTTATTTTTGACAGAGAGAGAGAGAGAGAGAGAGAGAGAACATGAGTGGGGGAGGGGCAGAGAGAGAGGGAGACACAGAATGTAAAGCAGGCTCTGAACTGTCAGCACAGAGTCCGACATGGGGCTTGAACTCACTAAACATGAGATTGTGACCTGAGCTGAAGTTGGATGCTCAGCCAACTGAGTCACCCAGGCGCCCCTGAAAAAAATTTTTAAATGGTTGAGAGAGACAGCATGTGCACGAGTGGGGGAGGGGCAGAGAAAGATGGGGGTGTGGTGAGGGAGAGAGAGAATCCCAAGCAGGTTCCTCAGTCAGTGCAGAGCCAGATGCAGGCTTAACTCATGAACTGTGAGATCATGACCTGAGCAGAAATCAAGAGTCAGATGCTTACCTGACTGAGCCACCCAGGTGCCCCACCTTGAAAATTTTAAATACTTAATGTTTTTGTATTTTTAAAAGCTATATTAATGTAGCTAGACTTTTGAGCTGAGGGAAATGTTATTTTGGGGTTTCGTCAGGAAGTAGTACTCTTTGAATAATGGAGAGTATCAACATAAGATTTTAATGAAGCACATTTTGTGTTTACTTTTTTTTATTTCAAAGTTGTTTAAGATAATTTTGGGTTATTGCTCTGATTTTAAAGAGATCTTAATCCTCAACTAGAAATTAAGCTTGAAAAAGTCCAATTAGGTTCTGGTCATTTCCTTGGAATATCATTTATCACTGATGGGTCATTAAGTATTAGTTGCTACTAATTCTATTTAATCCAACCATATCTATTAATCCAGTATCTGGCTTGGAAAGAATGTTGTTAGATTTAGCATATCTAGGTATAATTATTTTATCTGACTTTTAAGAATATGTCTAATTCTGATTCTTTTGGGAGATAACCTGTATTTTTGTACTTTTATAGGATAGAGGGGAGGAATCAGGAGCTTGGAAATTCAGCCAAGTGATCTGGTGGGATGGGCATTTGCCTGACATACTATATAGAGGTAATCTAACACTGTTTTACTCAGTCTTTATTTTTACCTGTGATAGATGCCCATGTGCTTGTATTATGAACAGCACTAATCACAACTATTGGATAGCACTCTGTATTTACTGGATGATCGTTTTTCCTTTTATACCCACTTACATATAAGCATGACATGTGTGTGTATATATATATATATATATATATATATATATATATATATATATATAAAATATACACACATACACATATATGGCATGGTATTGCTATATATAAATAACGAATGTCTATACATTGAAAAGAGTTAATGGTATTAGTTTTATAGGATGTAGATCATTATCTTTTCTCACTTAACTAGATTACTTGCATGTTTCTTTTTTAGGCCCAGTTCCCTTATTTTAGGAAGACAGATGATCCTCTCCTTTCTTGTTGGCTTATGTTGGTACATATGTTAGGCCTGTGCTTTATCCTTCAAACAAGTGAAAGAAAATTAAATATTTAACAGTTTTCAGGGTATTTACATATCTGTCAGTGGCACATATTCGCATGTCAGTTGTTAATGATTATAAAAATTCTGAAGATTTTTGTAAATTTAGTTTTGAGAATTCTTTAAAAATGAGTATGTGACAATATTAGTGGCTGTATTTTAAGATTTCCTTCTTTTTCCAAGTTTTCTGGTAATTGTCAAGTTCAACATTTCTCACTCCTTCAACATTTCCTTACCCAGGTTTGTTATAAGATGAGACACACTTAGGCATTAGAGAATGTTATAAGGTTAAAAAAAAAAGGTTTTCCTTGTTCCTTTTCACAGTTAATGTGTGTATTATATAAGTCTGTGGTATGTGTGTATATGTATGTGTGTATTCTTTCAGACATTTTCTATATATATGCAGATATTTGTATGTATACCTGTATTTACATATTCTTTACACAATTGAGATCACACCATACATATTGTTTAGCAATATATCTTTTTTGTTGTTAATTTCTGCATTTTTGCATATCTTTTCTTCTCTTTTCATTATGTGTAGTATTCCAGTATTTGAGTATACCATAATTTTATTAACTGCTTACTTATTAATGGCTGTTTAGGTTTTCAGGTGCTTTTGCTATAATAAATGGTAATATGGTAGATATTCTTGGACATGTCTTTGCATATATTTTAAAAAGTACATGCAGTATAAATCCCTAAGGGAAAAATTGTTGGGCCAGAGAGCATGTACATTTAATAATTAGGTGGATGAATTGCCTAAAAGGATTATTCCAATATCAGTAAGTCTAGGAAAATGGGAATCTCTAGCTCAATGACCACGCTAGCTAGTGTCAAACTTTTTAATAATTTGTTAGTATTTTGTTGTTTAGTATTGCTTTCCAAAATTTCATTATGAGTGAGCTTCAGCATTTTTCCATTATTGGCTGTATGTATATTTTCAGTGATCTCTTTGGTCCTGTGCTGAGTCCCTAGTCATTCATTAGGCAAATTATTTTCACTGAATTTTTCTTCTTCTGATCTTATGATTTTGATTTTACCTTGTGGAAGTTTTCATTTTTTATGATTGAATTTAGTCTTTTCCTTTATGGCTGGGCATGGGGGGTTTCTGTATAAAGTTTAAAAGGTCTCCGTTGTTGATTGTAGGGCTCACTTTTTCCTCTGTGTTGTCACATCTCCGAAATGACATGAATTGCTGGTTTGTCATAATTTGACATTATTATTATTTTCTTTCTTAGTTAACACATAAAATAGTCATGTAGCTTAAGATTGGTAGTTTTAGATTCAGTGAATTATGGTACTTGAAAAAGTTATATGGGTTTTCTGTTATTTTTTTTTATGGTTTACTTCGCTTAAAATCTTCATTTAATGTTGAATATATTTGGCTTATAAACAGTAGATGTAGAGATTTAGCTTTCCTTTTTTTCCGGCAGGCTAACTAGTTGTCCCCATTCCAATTATTGAATGATGCATTTCTTTTTTACATTTTGAAATGCCACATTTCTCATATACTGAATTTCCATGCTTTTGGAGAACATGTTTCTGAAATCATTTCTGTTCAGTTCATCTGCTTGTCTGTGTATTGATAGTATTAAGAGAATTCAGTAAAGGAATTGCTTATAAAAGTAATATACACAAATTTTTTATACAAATATAATAGGCATTAGGACTAATCGTGTAAGAAAAGGTATACATTCATAATAATTAAAAAGATAAAATGTCTGGGAGCAGTCTGAAGAAAATTTTGAAATTCTGAGGGATAAGAAAGAAAATTTGAACCAATTCAAATTAAAAAATATTTTTAATGTTTATATTTGAAGGAGAAAGAGACAGAGCGTGAGTGGGCGAGGAGCAGAGAGAGAGAGAGAGAGAGAGAGAGATCGAGAGAGATCCAAAGCAGGCTCCAGGCTTTCAGCTGTCAGCGTAGAGCCCAATGCAGGGCTCAAACCGACAAACTGTGAGATCATGACCTGAGTTGAAGTTGGAGCTTAACAGACCCTGGTGCCCCTGAATCAATTCAAATTTCTTTCCTTTCCTTTCCTTTCCTTTCCTTTCCTTTCCTT